CAATCTCAGCTCACTGCAACCTCTGCCTCCTGGTCTTAAGCAATTCTTCTGCCTCAGCCTCCTGAGTAGCTGGGATTACAGGCATGTGCCACCACACCTGGCTAATTTTTTGTATTTTCAGTAGAGATGGGATTTCGTCATATTGGCCAGGCTGGTCTCAAACTCCTGACCTGGTGATCTGCCTGCCTCAGCCTCCCAAAGTGCTGGGATTACAGGCGTGAGTCACTGTGCCCGGCCCATTTTTTAAAAATCTAAATAATGTGTACATAATGACATCTTGACACTTCACGTAAACTTCAGCCTGCAACTCCTAGAAATAAAGATATTCTTTCAGATATCACAATGCTGTTATTATACCTAAGAAAATTAAAATTAATGGAAATTTTCTCAATTGCTTCCCCATAGTATTTTATTGCTATTTCTTGGCTTTTCCCCTTGTTCAGCATCTGATCAACGGTCATGCACCGTATTTAGTTGCTGTCTCTTTGGGAAAGCTTAGTCTCTTAACTCTATTCCATGTTACCTGGGAAATGCTTAACTCAACTGTGACACTTTATTTCCACAGCCTCATCACTTTGGCCAACCTCCCTCCCTCAGGGTTGGCAAATGCAGCAGCAGAGGGGATTCGCTCAGAAGAGAATATCTATACCATTGAGGAGAACGTATATGAAATGGAGGAGCCCAGTGAGTATTACTGCTCTGTCAGCAGCGGACAGCAACCCTCACAGCCCTTGGGTTGCAGCTTTGCAATGCCGTAGATCCAACCATTTTATTTTTGAACTTGGTATTGCCTTTTTCAAAAACTATAAGCTGTGTCAGCTGACTGGTTTTAGAGGTTCTGTCCACTGCCACGGAGCAGAGTTTTTCCATTTTCAGAAAATGACTCACATGGGAATTCAACTGTGACCTGCACTGAATTTAAACAGGCATGTCATCATCTCTGTATCTAAGCCAACAGAGTTACCCAACTCAGAGACTGTTAATCATGGATGTTAGAGCTCAAACAGGCTTTTATATACACTAGGAATTATTGACATGGAGTCTCCGGAGCTCCAGGAAATTCGGGTACATCATATATCCACCAAACTTCAGATAAACTAGGGAAAACTGGGTGCTGAGATGAATGCATACCTTTTTTGGCACAGAAAGTCTAAAGGGGCCACTGATTTTTGAAGAGATCTGGGATCCTTTTTTTTGAGACAGAGTCTTGATCTGTCACCCAGGCTGAAGTGCAGCAGCATGATCTCAGCTCACTGCAGCCTCCACCTCCCAGGTCAACCAATTCTCCTGCCTCAGCCTCCCGAGTAGCTGGGACTACAGGTGTGTGCCACCGCACCCAGCTAATATTTGTATTTTAGGTAGAAACCAGGTTCTGCCGTGTCGGTCAGGCTGGTCTCGAACTGCTGACCTCATGATCTGCCTTTGAAAACTTTTTTTTTTTTTTTTTTGGCTGGGCGTAGTGGCTCACACCTGTAATCCAAGCACTTTGGAGGCCAAGGCGGGTGGATCACCTGAGGTCGAGAGTTCAAGACCAGCCTGACCAATATGGTGCAAACTCCATCTTAAAAAAAAAAAAATTTTTTTTTTTTTGAGATGGAGTCTCATTCTGTTGCCCAGGCTGCAGTGCAGTGGCATGGCCTCGGCTCACTGCAACCTCTACCTCCTGGGTTCAAGTGATTCTCCTGCCTCAGCCTCTCAAAGCACTGGGATTACAGGCATGAGCCACCGCACCTGGCCAGTGATCCTTAAATGATGAAGAGATGACTGGACCGGGTCTGCCTTGATCTTGAAGATTCCCTCAGAATGTTGAGCTTTAGGCTTCTTTGAGCATTACCTGTCCAACTGTAAGTGCCAGCACACGGCTCTCTTTTGCCTCTCTTACGAAGACTGACCTGCGTGCCTGAGATGTGGCAGGAGCTCCCAGAGAAAAAGGAACTGCGTTCAATCTGTGCATGTCGCCACATTTTGCTTGTGGTGTACTAGAAAGAAAATATCTCTGACCAACTTCTCTATTCATGGACCAAACTGAAGCTGTATTTTTCATAGAAGAAGAAGCAGTGACTGGGACACAAATTCTGTTTCCTGCTGGAAATAAGGCAAAGGCTTTCAGAAATCTGTATTGCCAGCATTAGATCCTTACATGGAAAGTAATCCCTAAACTTCAATTTCAAGGTGGTGAAGACTTGGTCTGTCTTGCTTATTGTTGCCCCCAGTGCCTGGCACAACTCTGACACACAATTGAAACTTACTAAATTATTTTTTTACCCTTTTTTTTTGTTTGGTTTTTGAGACAGAATCTCACTCTGTTGCCCAGGCTGCAGTGCAGTGGCCTGATCTAGGCTCACTGTGGCCTTGATGTCCTGGGCACAATTTATCCTTCCACTTCAGCCTCCCCAGGAGCTGGGACTATAGGCATGCGCCACCGTGCCAGGCTAAGTTGTATGTTTTTAGTCGAGATAAGGTTTCACCATGTTGGCCAGGCTGGTCTCAAACTCCTGGATTCAAGCGATCCCCGCTGCCTTGACCTCCCAAAGTGCTGGAATTTTAGGTGTGAGCCACCATACCCCGCCTAAATATTTTTTGGAGCGAAAAAAATAATAAGCGGAAAGGTAGCTTCCTGGAAGACTTTCGTTACAGAGCTCAGATAAGAGTGTGACTCTGCAAGTTCACTTCTTGGAGAACTCACACATACCTGGAAGCTCCTGTATTTACTCTTATCCAGGCCAAAGTGGCCTGTGTTTCTCAACATCATTCAGCTCAGGCCTTTGCTGGTGTCTTACTCTTTTGTCTATTTCCCTCTCTTCTGAGCCATTCTCAGCACATAGGAATGAATTAACAATAGGGACCTATCACCACCTAAAAACTGCTCCTCCTCAGGTGATGACCAAGCTGTGACAGTGCTGCATGTAGAAGATGCTGGCCAACAAGGCTTTGGCAGCCTGTCTGTTTCTAGAAGTCTTTCTGACAGTCTTGTGTGAATGAGAGCGTTTGGGCTGCATCTAGATAGTTTTGGGAGGCACTGGCATTCTACAGGGAGATATGTAAGGGAGATCGTTTAGCAAAATTAATTATAGGCAGCAGCTCCCATACAGGCTAAAAAAATTAATCTTAAGTGTCTTTTTAAAATTTTTTTGAGACAGTCTCACTCTGTCACCCAGGCTAGAGTGCAGTGGCTCGATCTTGGCTCATTGCAACCTCTGCCTCCTCAGTTCAAGCGATTCTCCTGCTTCAGCCTCCCAAGTAGCTATGATTACAGGTGGACATCACCACACCCAGATGATTTTTTGTATTTTTAGTAGAGATGGGGTTTTGCCATGTTGGCCAGGCTGGTCTCGAGCTCCTGACCTCATGTGACCCACCCGCCTCAGCCTCCCAAAGTGCTGGGATTACAGGCGTGAGCTATCACACCCAGCCCATAAGTGTCCTAAAGTCATGAAATTCTAGTAAGAAGAAACTTCAGGACACATTTGAAGCAGATCAATCGTCCTCATCAAAAGAGATTCTTATCCTACCAAAATCTTTAAACAAAGGTATACGTACAAGGCTGATCATTGCAATAGTATTTGTGGAGATTTTTTACAATCAATAAGGGAATGATTTATTATAGTGTTATGCCAATACACAGCTGCAAGTAAAAAGAATCATGACTAAAACAGCAAAAGCATTGGCAACAAAAGCCAAAATAGACAAATGGGACCTAATCGAACTCCACAGCTTCTGCATGGCAAAAGAAACAGTCATTAGAGTGAATCGCCAACCAACAGAATGGGAAAAAAATTTTGCAGTCTACCCATCTGACAAAGGGCTGATATGCAGAATTTACAAAGAACTAAAACAGATTTATAAGAAAAAAACAAGCCCATTCAAAAGTGGACAAAGGATATGAACAGACACTTTACAAAAGAAGACGTACATGAGGCCAACAAACATGAAAAAATGCTCATCATCACTGGTCATTAGAGAAATGCAAATCAAAATCACATTGAGATATCATCTCACGCCAGTTAGAATGACGATCATTAAAAAATCTGGAGACAACAGACACTGGAGAGGGTGTGGAACAATAGGAACACTTTTATACTGTTGGTGGGAGTGTAAATTATTTCAACCATTGTGGAGGACAGTGTGGCGATTCCTCAAGAACATAGAAATAGAAATTCCATTTGACCCAGCAATCCCATTACTGGGTATATATCCAAAGGATTATAAATCGTTCTACTATAAGGACACATGCACACAAATGTTCATTGCAGCACAGTTTACAATAGCAAAAACCTGGAACCAACCCAAATGCCCATCGATGATAGACCGGATGGGGAAAATGTGACACATATACACCATGGAATATTATACAGCCATCAAAAACGATGAGTTCGTGTCCTTTGTAGGGACATAGATGAACCTGGAAACCATCATTCTCAGCAAACTGACACAAGAACAGAAAATCAAACACTGCATGTTCTCACTCATAAGCAGGTGTTGAACAATAAGAACACATGGACACAGGGAGGGGAGCACTACACACTGGAGTCTGTTGGGGGGAAACGGGAGGGACAGTGGGGGGTGGGGAGTTGGGGAGAGATAGCATGGGGAGAAATGCCTGATATAGGTGATGGAGAGGAAGGCAGCAAATCACACTGCCATGGGTGTACCTATGCAACAATCTTGCATGTTCTTCACATGTACCCCAAAACCTAAAATGCAATAAAAAAAATTAGGCGATTTTATCATTAAGCTTTTTTGCTAATTCAACAAATACTTATTAAGTGTTTACTGTGTGCCAGATACTTTCTTTTGTGCTGGGATCATAGAAGAGGACCAAATAGACACATCCCTGGCTCCATGGAACTCCTAGTTGATCTGACAGGAAGGAGGATTCATGTCCTTTTGTTTATTCAGTGAAAAAAAAAAATGTGTGTGTGTGTGTGTGTGTGTGTGTGTGTGTGTTTTTTTTTTTTTTTTTTTTTTTTGAGACAGAGTCTCACTCTGTTGCTCAGGCTGGAGTGCAGTGGCACAATCTTGGCTGACTGCAGCCTCTGGCTCCAGGGTTTAAGCACTTCTCCTGCCCAGATACTCACTGGAGTAGCTGGAATTATAGGCATGCACCACCATGCCGGGCTAATTTTTGTATTTTTAATAGAGACAGGGTTTCACCATGTTGGTCAGGCTGGTCTTGAGCTCCTGGCCTCAAGTGATCTGCCCTCCTTGGCCTCCTGAAGTGCTATGATTACAGGTGTGAGCCACCATGCCCAGCCCATTCAGTGAATATTTATTGGCACCTACTTCATGCCAAACACTATTCTAGTCTCCAGAAATACAGCAATGAATGAAGCGGTCAAAATCCTTGCTGTCATGGAGCTTACATTACTTATCAGAGGAGAATGCTATGTAGTTAAGTTCAAAGGAGGTGGGGGAAAGGGTTCCATAATAGTTTATACAAGTGATGAATTTTTTTGCCTTTAAAATATGGAAGAATATACCCAAATGAATATGGTTACTGATGGAGACAAAGGGTGAAGAAAGACTCACTTTTTCCTTTTTCATGTTTCTGCTCTAGTTTATTTTCTCCATTTTGTTTTGTAATAAAAAGTAAATTCAAGCATTATAGCAGTGTTTTTCTGTCTGCCCTCCTCATCAAAGAAATAAATGAAGACAAGGTCAAGGTCAAGATTGAGGGCAGTAGT